AGTTTTTCGGCAGAATGGTAAATAAAATAAAATCTAAAAAAAAATCATAGTCTGCTGAACACATCTGTTTTACAAACCAGAAAAACATAATTTTCTGATGAAAATAACACCACTCATCTCTATGAAATTAACTGATACATGAAAAATAACAGCGCTATATGAAACGTTATGATTGATCATAATTATTATTAACCAACCAAAATGCACCCTTAAATACAAATACTTGCATTTGGACACCTTTGAGACTTTTAATTGTCAGTTAAGGGATAAAAAAGTAAAAACCTTGCTATATTAGAGTTAGTATTTTTAAGTTAAATTTATACATCTGTTATTGTATTTCACATTATTTAAAATTGTGCTATGGTCAGTTATTTTCCAAATGATGTTAAAACAATTATTTTCTTTTAATTCACCTGATGCTGGTACATCTTTATCCATCTATACGTTTGCAGTGAAACACTAAAAATGTAGCTGAATTTACACTAGGAACAAATGAGCTGTTAAATGATGCGTTAAGAGCATGAAGGAAGGAGATATAGCTAGGAGAAGGGAGAATGAAGGAATGATCTCACAGATTCAAATCCCATCACAGGTCTTCCTATGGACACCTACATACGGTCACAGCACAGTGCAAAAGCATTGATGGTTTTGTTCATCTTGTATTTTTAGTGCTGTGCTGTGATGAGCACATGGGAGAAAAAAACATCAATTACAAAACAGATGATCAGTCAGCACTGCAGGTCAACAACAAAACTTTGGCATACCTCATAGAAGGATGACAGTGGGCCAGTTCCTGTGGTAAGCTTTGTAATAAAGGAATACATGGACTATATATTACATCAGTACACATCAACTAATGCCACTACATGAAGAACTGTGTCTAGTAAACTTTTCAGGACATTTCAGGTCTTCTTGTCATTGGATTTACTTTTTGATTTTTTTTTTATATGGCATACCTCATAGAAGGATGACAGTGGGCCAGTTCCTGTTGTAAGCTTTGTAATAAAGGAATAAATGGACTATATATTACATCAGTACACATCAACTAATGCCACTACATGAAGAACTGTGTCTAGTAAACTTTTCAGGACATTTCAGGTCTTCTTGTCATTGGATTTACTTTTTGATTTTTTTTTTATATTGCACTGTGACTGCCATGATGGTTTTTCTGCAGAAAACTATGACAAGTCAACAAATTTACAGCATAGTCTGCATGTAAATAAGGATTGCTCTTATGAAATGACTGTTTGCCATGACAAACACAGCATTTTAGGAATTTGCAAGTATTATGCTGACAGGCCAAATTAACCTGCCAAAAGGCATGAGTAAATATAGCATATTAAACATTGGATATGAGTATCATAATGTGCAGATACACTATTACAATGATCATTTAAAAGGTAATTTTTTTATTTAATAATAGAAAATATTCCAAAGTTGGGCACAGTGAGAAAACAATTAATTATTTTGATTGAGCAAAAAGCTTACAATACACAACCTTTGCTTAAATCACATGCAAGCTGACATTTTCAGCAATGAAGTTGACCGATTTTGACAGACAAACAGACGTATAAACAGGTGCATCCACAGAACAACATGATGGCATGGCAAAAGTAAACATGCTACACGCCATATTTAATTTTAAATAAAAAAAGATAATTACAAGTCTACAATTCCTTTTGGAGTCTTAAAGTTATTTTTTCTATGTCCTCAAAAGCATTGTGCACATAAAATGTAAATATCTCAATGAGAATATGTCTTCATTATTGACCATAATCTTAATTGGAGTAGAGACCAGGTCATTTAAAGTAATTGTCTCCAACTGTTGCTACTAGATATATATATATATATATATACCAAGTAGGCATTTACATGTTTCGGTTTGTTTAAATGTAGGTTATTTAACAATTAATTTGTTTTCACGTTACCAAGAGAGTACATGATTTGATTTAACCAAATTAATGGCAATGGCCTTCAAAGCTGAAAGCATTAGTGAAATGTATTAATACCTCTGTTGCACCTCTCTTCTGTACTTCTTCACGGATGAACCGTCCATGTTGGCAGGAAGGTCTGCATAATTCTGGAGCCGATCACTCCAAGAGGTTGTCATCTTTAACCAGTATAGGTCTGAGAAAGAAAGCAAAAACTTAAAAGAGATTTTTTTTTTTTTTATGCAGCACAGGCAGATGGCAGAACACAGTGAATTTGAATATACACAGCACTAGTTTAGTATCTCAGAGGTTAAATTTCCACCACATTTAATTGTTGCACAATAGCCCTGTAGGTGATATGCAAACCTTAACAACAAAGGACCAGACACATTCAAACTATTTTAAACAGAATCTCAAAATGTTCATGATCATCACATCTATTCTAAAGCTACACTTATAATCATTTTATGTCAGTGTAACAGTATTTCCTGTATCAAAGATAAACAGCCATAACACACAACTACAGAAAGCTGCCTGAAACAATGTTTAAAGGGGTCATATGATGCGATTTCAATTTTTCCTTTCTCTTTGGACTTGTTACAAGCTCTTGGTGCATAAAGAAGATCTGTAAAGTTGCAAAGACTAAAGTCTCAAATCCAAAGAGATATTCTTTATAAAAGTTCAGAGTCAGCCATGCCTACCTAAAACGGCTCGTTCTAACACGCCCCCACATATCTACCTCACTATGTGGGAAGATTTGCATAACACCGCCCAAATGTTCACACAAAGAAAAAAGGCATAACTTTTATTCTCGCTGTAGTTTTGTTGTTTCCGCCGCCATGTCGTAAAGACGCTGTGTGCTTCGTTGTGAAAGCGAAACTACTTTGTTTGGCCTTCCAAAAGAGGACGATATCTGCTTCGTCATGCCTCCGGACGCTCCTTCATCGAAATCGCCGGCCGCACCATTCTCAAGCCCGCCCGCCTCTGCTCACTCGAACCCTCCCACCGTTCCTCACGCTAGCCCCCGGCCTCTGCTCACTGTAGGCCGCGCCAATTACAAAGTACCAGGTTTATGATACATATTTTTAGATACCCCTTAAGAAACTACTTCTCTAATTGTAACACTAAAGGACAGCTCACAGAAGCCGCACAATGTAGCCTATTTTTTATAATTTTTTTTCTCAAATACCAAAATAAATGTATTTTTCTCATTCTCTACAAGGTACCTACAAGACTATCAACGAATTACATAATGTACAAATGATCAAAAGCGATATAAAATGTACAAACATAAACATTATGCATATTATTTAAATCTTTGCCTGACGTTGTATATACAAGACAATGCATATAATATATATACACGCCGTCTTATGCATTTATTGCTAAGACACAATGGAGCTTTGAATTCAAAGCACCTGCTACTTAATTTATATAAAGACCATATTAAGTTTCCACATTATGCCTTAGAATAACTGTAAAGATGTATTAATAATATCAAGGCATACATGCGCGCATATCTTTCCTCTTGTTTATGCAGTTCAGTGATGGTAAAGTTAGCACGCCAGCTAACTAACATTCCTTTAGTTTTGATCAACCGGAAACAAATGCATAAAATGGAGGAAACTGCCTTAACGATTGTCGCTATAACGTTTATATACACAGTTATTGTGCAACAATTTAATGATATAACTACTGCTTCTTGATACGCGTTATATCTCCGCCCAGTGTCAGTAGGCTACTTACCTCACCTCCTTCAGTGACCAACAACTGCGGTTCTGCGCTATCTGCATACTGCGCATGCGCAAACCATCCAGCCACTAGATGTCCATCCAAAAACTAAGATGAGATTCAAACAGTTGATATAGTTTGTGGAAGTAATGTCAAAAAATAGATATGCATTATAAAAATGCATAATCTAATCTGAAACGATCATGAACAACTACAGTGAAAATATTCATTTCATGTCCTATTTATTTTATTTAATGTCTGTTGACAGCGACATGAATAAAATTATTGTAAAATTATGTATTTGTATTCCATCAGTGATGAACAATGGCAGTAATCTGTAGAGAAAAAACATTTTGGAAGAGAAATGTCGCCATCTATTGGTTGTCAACTTTAGACCGTGTTGCCAGATTTTTAATCACTACAAGGTTGATTTGAATTTGTATTTCATATCAGGACTCAACATACACAAATAGCAAAATATATTTTTTAAATGAAATTCATCTAACGTTTATCTAATGAAACAAATTATTTAGTTGGCCCTAGTAGAAATGAACTCAGGTGGGGGACTAAAGAAAATTTACATTTAAAAATTATGTTTGTTCATGAAAAACGATTCTAAAATGACGGGAAATGCTATGCATATTATAAGAATATTTTATATATTTGTAGGAATCCTACTGGCAAAAAAAACATCTTAAACCAGCCTACGCTTTTTGCTGGTCTTGGACGGTTCCCCAAACCTTTGTCTGTTTGCTGGTTTTAGAAGGCTTTTAGACACTTTTGAGTTGGCTAGGGTGTAAACTAAAACCAGCAAACAACTCTGGGCTGGTTTATGCTGCTTTTTTCAACAGTGTAAGGACCGTTATTTATTCATTGTTATTTATTTATTTTAAATTAATGTTTAAAAAAATATTTGGGGCACTTGTCATCTGGTCAGCCTGGCAGACCAATTGGTTTAATTATTATTAATATAGGCTATTATTTTAATATTGTAAAGGAAGTAAATTTTGTGTCTTAAAAGACTGGGCTGAAGTTTTTCTTCTTTTTTCTTTTTTTGTCCAATGCAGTCTAAAATTGCATGGATATCTAAAAACATTTAATATACCACAAAGAAATAAAGATAAAAAAAGATCTTAAATCAAGCCTAAATCGATTTAACGGTTAAATCTCGGGTCCATTCATCACTGCGCAAACCTGGACAGTTCCATCGACACATAACAGTTTACACGGCCCAAAAATCTGTCCTTTGTTTGCAAATGTCATACCATTTGAAAACAACTACTAAATGAATGTTTTAATTGGCCAGAAACGGTTTATTCTCATTTTAACTGTCACCACCAGAGGGAACATGACAGGCTGTTGAATGGGACAGTCCTCCGGGTATATAATGACAAGCACACCCATTTTAGACTCCTTTAGCTGTGACGAAGATGAGTTACGGATCAGACAACTACATGTCCTCATCCTATAGAAAGATATTTGGGGAAACCCCTCGTTTCACCGGTTCCACCTCTAGGATGAGCAATGTCTCCTCACGGAGCTCCATGTCTTCCAGCGGCTTCAGGTCCCACTCTCTCTCCCGCAGCAGTGCCTCTCCAGCGGGCTACTACAAAAGATCGGGACGGTCATCTTCCTTTTCACCGGTGCATTTCGACAGCGTGGATTTCTCTCAAACAGCTGTGTTAAACAACGAGTTTAAAATCGTCCGAACCAATGAAAAGGAACAACTGCAGGGCCTCAATGACCGTTTCGCGATGTTTATCGAGAAGGTGCGCAATCTGGAGCAGCACAATCAAGTGCTGGAGACCGAACTCGTGAGTCTGCGCCAGAGGCAGAACGAGCCGTCCAGACTCGCTGACCTCTGTCAGCGAGAGATCCGGGATCTGCGAGCCCAGGTGGACGAGTTGAACAATGAAAAATCTCACATTCTCATTGAACGAGATAATATCGACGAAGACTCGCAGAAACTTCGAGGCAAGTTTGAGGATGAGATCCGAGCGCGCGAGGAGGCAGAGCTGACGCTCAGATCCTACAAGAAAGATGTGGATGATGCCACAATGGTGCGCGTGGACCTGGAGAGAAAGGTCGAGTTCCTCTTGGACGAGATCAATTTTATGAGGAAAGTGCATGATGAAGAGGTGGCGGAGTTGACTAGTATGATCCAGGCAGCCCAGATATCTGTGGAAGTAGAGTTATCCAAGCCGGATCTGACCTCGGCCCTCAAAGAGATCCGTGGGCAGTATGAAACCCTCGCGTCTAAGAACCTTCAGTCTGCCGAGGAATGGTACAAATCAAAGTTCACCAGCCTCAATGAACAGGCCACTAGAACCAACGAGGCCATGAGAGCCGCAAGAGAGGAGATCAACGACTACAGGCGACAACTACAGTCCAGAACCATTGAAATCGAAACCTTGCGAGGCACAAATGAGTCACTTGAACGACAGATCCGCGAGATGGAAGATGCACACAATGCCGAGGTCGCAGATTATCAGGTAGAAACATAAAATTGACATATCATTTTGGAGTTAAGCATGTATGTATGAAAATATAACTCAATTTAATAATACAAATAAAAATATTTATTTAAAGGAAAAGAGAGAAAAAAGTTCCATGTCTATCTATCTATTTATCTATCTATCTATCTATCTATCTGTCTGTCTGTCTGTCTGTCTGTATATCTGTATCTAGGTAGACATATTTTATTTAAACAATAATTTATTATTCTTGAGAAATCCCCCTTCAGGTTTTTTGTTTTTTTACTTATTTTACATTTATATTATATATTATGTATTTGCATTTATTTTGTATTTATATTAATATATAAAGGAAAGCATGTTTTATGTGCTCTGGCTGGTTTTCACCATTTTTAATCAACTTTTTGCCTTCATTAGTTATTTTTAATAGTCCTGCAGCATGACACAGAAGTGTTTAAAAGTATAAATATTTAATGTAATTACCCAATTATATTAGGAGCTCATGAACAAATGTAAATTGAATAATTAGAAGAACTGTGAATTATACCACAGGACAAGACTGAAACTGCTTGAATGGCATGTCAAGTAGCCGGGTGCTCTGTCCATGGTGCTGAACTAATCGCGCATGAGAGGTGGCTGAGGTTAATTCCACTAAGAAGAGTCTCTTGATAAAGAGGATTTTGCAAGGGAGGTTTCTGCAAGGTCATGTTCACTTGGTGAAAGAAACCCCATGATAACCTCAGTTTATGTTTATATTGATGTGTTAGAACTGCTTGATGAGTTAGATGCTTTACAAATGTGAACGTTAAGCACGCTGCCATATAAAGTATCCAGATCACTTTGGCTTGTTTTTCCCAGACATGATCTATGACCTTTCATCTTTTGAGAGTGAAAGAAGTGCCAGTGTGAATCAGATTAGCGTCTTTGAACTCTGTACTGAGACAGCCAGTCAATGCCAAGAGATAAAGGTTCACATCAGCTTTTATAAGAAGGATCTAATTTTGGTGAGCTAAATTAATTAACGGTCATGTGAATGTGAAAAGTGCAAGCTGGTTTCAATGTATTGCATTTCTTTATAAGAATATTTTTGTAATTTTATGATGGCCATTACAGAATATTTTTGTGCTAAGGCTAATATTGATACATATATTTTTAAATCCCATTAACCAGGAAACAATTGGGCAGCTGGACCTTGATCTTAGAAATACTAAGAGTGAAATGGCCCGTCACCTCCGGGAGTATCAGGATCTTCTGAACGTCAAGATGGCATTAGACATTGAAATTGCAGCATACAGGTAAAGCACCAATGATTCCACTTTAATTGCACATGAAATAACTAATGCAACGAGAATGAAAATTAATAAGAACTAACCAGTCGTCATTGATGTCCTCATAGAAAGCTATTGGAGGGTGAAGAAACCCACTTCAGTTCTGGGGTGACTTTCTCCAGCACACCCAGCATCACTTCTGGGTATCAGAGCCGCTCCGCTTTCACCTCAACCCGCAATCCTAAAAAAGAGAAAGAAGAAGAGGGACATGGCAAATCCAAGGCAGGAGCCAAGCTGGAGGAGAACCCGGAGGAAACCGCTGTGATTAAGAAGGCAGAAAAGAGCGATACTGTTGATGTTAACTCTAACTAGAATGTTACGGTTATTAAACCTATACTTCTCCAGCTATTTTCCCAGCAGTCTTTTGAGAGTTTGGCACAGTAATCACTGCTAGCTAAAAACTGCCACTTGTTGTTTATAGTAATTGGTAACACGTTTAATATATTGCAATGGTGATATAATGTTTCAAATACCATATCTACAATATACTGGTTTAATACTCCGGAACTTAGGCCTCAGATATGTCCTGTTTCTTAATTGTAGATTCAGAGAGTATTTTAGTCCTGTTGATGGTGTTAGGAGTATAAATATGAACTTCAATATTAAGGGATGACTAAGATATAGCCAGCATTACCACTGATCCAACGATTATGGATAAATGTACAATTATTTATGAAAGGTTTGTTGGAAAGCACTATATTACGAATAAGGGACCAAACCACTTAACTAACTGTTACACATGTATATGCCTTAACCACAATAAAGTCAATAATTGAAATGTTATGTTTTTGTTTTTATTCATAAATCACTCTCAACATCACTAATCTTATCTGTCTCATATCAATAAACGTGCATTACATTTAATGTTATTACACTGCTCTTAATTGCTGTTTATTTTTAAAACTCCTCAAAGAGTCGAGATTTAGCACATTAAATAGGTAATGTTTCTTTTACTTGCAACTCATTTAATTTAGCCGTAGTGGTTTGATGATTCTTTATGGTTTGAGCCTTTATAAACAATGTTCTGTTTAGAGCTACAATACCGTGTTTGTGGTTGGTAAGATTTTGAATGCCTTTGAAAGACGTTTCTTATACTCATCAAGGCTGAATTTATTTGATAAATTCAGATATTGTGAAATATTACAATTTAAAATAATTATGTTCTAGTTTAATATATTTAAAAGAGTAATTTATTCCGGTGATGGCAATGCAAAATGTTCACTCGAGTCTTCAGTGTCACATGATCCTTAAGAAATCATTCTAATCTGTTGTGGTGATAAAATAACATTTATTATTATTATTGAAAACAGTTGTGCTGCCTTACATTTTTGTGGAATCTGTGGAATACAGGTGCATCTCAATAAATTAGAATGTCATGGAAAAGTTCATTTATTTCAGTAATTCAACTCAAATTGTGAAACTCGTGTATTAAATAAATTAAATGCACACAGACTGAAGTAGTTTAAGTCTTTGGTTCTTTTAATTGTGATGATTTTGGCTCACATTTAACAAAAACCCACCAATTCACTATCTCAACAAATTAGAATACTTCATAATGTTTCACATAAACATTTTTAGTGAATTGTTGGCCTTCTGGAAAGTATGTTCATTTACCAGGTTTTGATCATTAAAACAAAATAACAGCATTTATTTGAAATGGAAATATTTTGTAACATTATAAATGTCTTTAATGTCACTTTTGATCAATTCAATGGATCTTTGTTGAAAAAAAAAATTTTCTTTCAGAAAAATCTTACTGGCCCCAAACTTTTAAAAATGAGTGCACATGTAATCATCTAAATTGCATTAACTACTCTGTTCAATGGCAGAAAGACGACCTCCTATTTAAAGGCTTATGGATTCTGTCTCTCTCCACAAAAAACAAAGGGAGAATTTAGCTATGATTGATTATATCTTGCCACTCCACTCAGAAAAAGGCTCCTGCTTTGTGTTGTTCCGAAAGACTGTCAATCACTGAAAAGTATGGGAGATGCCCCTTTAAGAGTCACTGTCTTTTTTTCGAAAAAGGTCAGTAAATTTCCTTTATAATCACCAAGACAGCACTTGATTAAAAAAAAAAATAAAAAGTAAGGTAAAAACAGCCAGAGATATATTAAATCAGATACATCAGTGGTTAGTTATATTCCCACTTGTAGAATGTTAAAAAGCAACATCAAATCAACTCAAACTAGATGGGCTTAGATTTGAACAAGCTTGTACCTGCAATCCTACACTCTCATAAACAATATCTGAACCTTAAGACAAGCGAAATCATACAGGGGGTTTAAGGCGGTTCCCTTGGAAACCATTTTCAACAGTCCCTGTGGGTTAGTAAGCATTATCTCTCTCCCCCTTACACTGAGCCTCAGACTCTCCAGAGTTTTTGTGATAATGGCTTTCACAAAGAATCCCATACAGGTGACTAGACTCTATTACATATGAGGTGAAATATGCTTCCTAACATTTAGGCTAATCTAATATTTTTTGTGTAAATAAGAGTGTCTCAATTTGAAATCAGCAGCACACAAACAGAAAATCAGTGTGTCATAAAATATTTCCCAAAACTAAAAAGATGACTAAATGAAAAGGGATGCATAGTATTTATATGAAATTATGTGTATCTGGCCATGTGCATTTTAACATCTTGTTGTAAAGCTGTTTTAAAAAATGAAGACGACTTCAATTACAATATTGCAAAAGATGAAAAAAAAAAATATTTGAAAGATCTTTCCCCCCAAAGGCCTTGTAATAACACAATATGACTCAAACAATACATAAAGATTTCAATCTAAAATGAACAAAGACAACCAGAAACATTTAAACACCCCTAAAAGAGTTGAGGAGAGAAAGACAGTAAACCAAACAAACATCTTCATTGCTGTTCAGAATTAAATACTTAACAATTTGGGTACTGCCCAGGTACTTAAGTGAATTATTTCTTTCAAAGTACTGATTTAATTTTTGTCAGCTTAACTTGAGGCACAACAAAACCAAGCAATAAAACAATATGTCAAACAATATATTCTCAGAGACAAGGTGTAAAATAATTACTTACTCTGTGTTTTTATTAGCAAATGTATAAAAGAGCATTCACAGAACCCTCACCGCTGTGGAAATTGTAACCAAAAATCAGTCATCCAAACAAACAAACAAACACTCAGTATATTTTGGAAATAGCTCATTAGCTCTGTTTCTTAATGCATTTACTCAAAGAATGCTGCCATATTCTTAATCTTTTTGAGCAGAAGGCAACCAGGAAGACGAAGGATCACTGCATAGGATAACTGTTATATGATTAAATTCAGTTTAGCCCTTGAAATAAAACCACTGTACAATGTAAATTTCACAGTAGTTGGTCTTTCTGTGTCTTTCCTCTTTACTGAGCAGGTAGAACGAGTCCGAAATGCAGAACCAGCATGCCATCCTAAAAAGGGAAAATAAGAAATGTGGGTATTAAGAAATACAGCATTTACATTACTGTTTAAAAGTTCTGGGTCAGCAAGAATAAAATAAAAAAAAAATAATACTTTAATTCAGCAAGAACTCATTCAATTGACAAAAAGTAAAAGTAAAGAATTTTACATTGTCAGTGATGATTTCTATTTCAAATAAATGTTGTTTTTTTGGAACTTTATATTCAAAGAATCCTGAAAAAATTGATCAGTTTCCACAAAAACATTAAGCAGCACAACTGTTTTCAACACTGATAATAATAAGAAATGTTTCTTGAGCAGCAAATCAGCCTATTAGGAAGGATCATGTGACATTAAAGATTGGAGTAATGACTGCTGAAAATAACAATGAAATTACATTTTGATGTCAGATTAACCACAATGGATTATCACAGATGTCATTCGAAAAATAGCGATAGCGGTCACATACAACACATAGAACAAAGCAAGAGACTTTAAAGAGACCTGTTTGTCTTTTTTACTTTAAAATGCTATTTTTAAGAGACAGCAGCACTTGAAGCTGCTAAGGCTCTAATGTAATGCTGTGTGAAGGGCGAGACAGGAATTGTGTTAAGGCGCCTGTTTTTCACACTTATTAACAGCTTACATGAGGCTCATTCTCTCTAAAAACATCTCAATGATACTGAACAATCCTTAAAGGGGTCATATGATGCGATTTCAAGTTTTCCTTTCTCTTTGGAGTGTTACAAGCTGATTGTGCATAGATAAGATCCCTAAAGCATCATATGACCCCTTTAAAAAGATAGTTCTCCCATTTTTTGTCCCAAAAATTTGTCATTTACTCAATCTCAAGTAGTTCCAAACCTGCATGAGCTTTTTTCTTCTGTTGAACATAAAAAGGTATTTTGAACAGCTGCTGGCTGACTTCCAAAGTAAGGTTAAAAAAAAAATAAATGTATGGAAGTCAATGGGGAACAGAAACCGTTTGGTTACCCACATTCTTTAAAATACCTTCTTTTGTGTTACTCATACAGGTTTGGAACTACGTGACGGTGAGTTAATGAAGATAGAATTGTCATTTTTGGATGAATTGTCCTTTTAAGCAATTATTTGTGCCTCTAGCAGTTTTTTTTTTTTTGCAAAAAAATATAATAGACAAAATAACATAAAAAGGTGAAAGGTACATTATATCAGACACCCACCTGCAATGCATTTTTTCCCATGGTGTTACAAACTTCTCTCAAAGACTGGCATTGCTCAAGAAGATGGTCTCCACACACAACATCAACCTGCCAAATGAAGTAGAATGTAAATGTTCATGTAACTTTTCTTTTTCTATCTGTCATATCATCAATACCAATGCTTTTAGCCTGATCACTTTGGGAAAGTAATAGCACTCCTCTCCTCAAAACACTGCATGTTTTGAAGAATCGTTCCTGACCATAGCACAATGCCAATGCTGAATTCTGAGAAAAAAAAAACCTTCACAAACATATCACAAGTAAAATAAGCAATAGAAATAGGGATTCTTGCATTAGCAAACATCACTAATAAAAGTTGGATTCCAGTGGGTACAAACTTTTTAGAAGACTTTTTCACAGTGACCCTAAAATGCCAGATGGAAATACACTTTAAGCCTCCATATGCATATACAATACAGCCTCAGTGTATTCCCAAAATGATTAGACAATTTTTAGAGTCTAGTATGTGGAGCAGGGCACAGCGGGCTATCCTGGAGCCAGGCACACAAACCCTCGTGCCTCCTCTTTCACCTCTATCCCAGTAGATGTCCCTGGCACTATGAGGTGTTCCTCACCGAGCCAGATCAGTCTTAGCTAATCAACACTGAGTGACTGGACGCCAGGAAAAACCCTTAAGTCAGTAATCCAGATATGACTGTTAGCCTCACAACATGCAAGCAGCCATTACTAACTGCTTGCATGTGACTATAGATCACAATACTGCAATTAATGTTAATTACACAAACGAAAAAGCAAAATTGTGAAGCTTATAATTTTATAATAGCATATTAATTCTGATTAAAAGTGAGCTGTCATGGCAACAAAATTGTAAAATTAATTTTACACAGTAAAATACATTAATAAAACATAATACAATAAGCATTTTTTACACTAATATCATGTCAGCATTACAGATTGGCACCATTCATTCACTTCCATTGTATGTGCCTCACAGTAATCAAGACAGGAGGGAGAAGTGGAAATCAACATTATTTATCAACATTATGCCACAAATGCTGTCAGTCGAGCTAAACTTGAATTGAACCCAGAATATATCTTTAAAATGCCCCAAATCACATGTATACATACATACTATGAA